TTTGGTTTTTTAAATGCACGCTATTGTGACACCAGTGAGTGACTTGGCACTGGCAAGTGGGCACAGTATACGCCTGACACACAGACGCTTGCAGACAACTAACTGCTATTCAATCTATAACAGTGAAAAAAGTTTTGGGTTTTTAAATGCACGCTATTGTTACACCAGTGAGTGAGTGGTGGCACTGGGCAAGTGGGCACAGTATACGCTGCGAGCCTGACACACAGACGCTTGCAGACAACTAACTGCTATTCAATCTATTACAGTGAAATACATTTTTTTTTAAATGCAAGCTATTGTGACACCAGTGAGTGAGTGGTGGCACTGGGCAAGTGGGCACAGTATCCACTATGAGCCTGACACAGACGCTTGGAGACAACTAACTGCTATTCAATCTATAACAGTGAAAAAGGTTTTTTGGTTTTTAAATGCACGCTATTGTGACACCAGTGAGTGAGTGGTGGCACTGGGCAAGTGGGCACAGTATCCACTGTGAGCCTGATACAGAAGCTGGCAGGCAGGCAGGCAACCGCAATTACATTACACAGAAAAAAAAAAAAAAGCAGACTGATGTTATAGCCCTAAAAAGGGCTTTTTGGGGTTGTGATCCTTGTCAGCAGGTAGCACGGTCCTCTAGGGCAAAAACATGCACAGTCTTTTAATGCAACTTCATTCCAGGCACTTTATTTGTAAGTTTACATATGAGGCAACAGCAAATGAAAACATAAATATAACAGGTTTCCCTTTAAACAAAAACCTAGCCGTCTGAGCACTGACTCACTTTGAATAACCCTCTCTATCAGGGTTAAACTAACAAAACATACTGCACCAACCTTATTAGATAGCAACACTCTGCTAGCTAGCCTGTTGCTTTTCTTTCTCCACTCCCAGTGCTCCCAGCCAGCCTTGCCCTGACTGCTTTCCTTTCTGCACTCCCAGTGCTCCAAGCCAGCCTTGCCCTGACTGCTTTCCTTTCTGCACTCCCAGTGCTCCAAGCCAGCCTTGCCCTGACTGCTTTCGTTTCTGCACTCCCAGTGCTCCAAGCCAGCCTTGACTGCTTCCTCCTGCACTCCCAGTGCTCCAAGCCAGCCTTGACTGCTTCCTTTCTGCACTCCCAGTGCCTAGTCTCCTTAACTCTCTATCTGGAGAGAACAGCCTCTCTCCTACCTGCTTCCTCGGAGGAAGCCAGCAATCCCTCTCCTTTCTCTGCCTAGCCGGGAGGGGTTTATTCCCACTGCAACAGCTCATTAACTGCAGCTGAGCAGTGGGTTGGAGACGGTCCAAAAAACCCTGGCCTGGATCTATGTCTCCCCAGAAAACCACTAAACTGTGGCGTGGAGCATTGGCCCACCCTTGTCTCCAAATGCTCCACCCCAGGGGCCCATAACTAAACAAAGCTTTGTGTTGTGCAACACACAAACTACACGTACTTCCCCTGGGGTTAAAAGGCCTATCTGCCTTCACTTTATCACAGGGTGCTGTCCTTACAGCAGAGATCAGATGAGTCCTTCAGAACTGTAGTGGACACTGTATACACTAACCTAGCTATCCATTTCCCTATCAAATCAATAGCAGCTACACTTTCCCTCCTCTCACTAAGCATGCAGCTTGAGAATGAATCTAAAATGGATGCTGTCCAGTAGGTGGGAGGGTCTGCTAGGGAGGGTGTGCTGCTAATTGGCTGGAATGTGCCTGCTGACTGTGAGGTACAGGGTCAAAGTTTACTCAATGATGACGAATAGGGGGCGGATCGAACTGCGCATATGTTCGCCCGCCGTGGCGAACGCGAACATGCTATGTTCGCCGGGAACTATTCACCAGCGAACCGTTCGGTGCATAACTAGTGTGTATATCTGTTTGTCCTTTTGTGTTTCATTGTGTTTATCTGTGTTTTTGTCTGTGTGTGTATTCTGTGTCAATGTGTATTAGTGTCTATGTATCTGTGTGTGTATCTGTGTAACTATGTGCCATTGTGTGTGTCTGTGTGTTTGCGTATGTGTATGTGTCTGCAGTGGTTTGAATTTGTGCTGCCCTAGGCACGACTAAATTCGGGCACCCCCAAAATCTAAATTTGCCCCCCCAATTCGTGTCAAGGCCATTTTTTTAACTGACAGACACATGCCCTCATTGATACATGCACTGATATGCACTTACTGACAGATACAGAGTCATTGGCACACACATACAGTCATTAGCACACACTGTTTAACCAACACACACTTTCACTGGCAGACACACACTGACACACCCACTCACTGACAGGTACACACTCTCAGATACACATAAAATGATATACACACACTGACACACACTCACAGGCACACCTATTCTCACTCACAGACACACACTGACAGCTACACTCACCCACTCACTCACAGTAAGGTGGACATCCACAGAACATGAGGCAAAACAAGGCATTTGTCTCGGAGCTTGGGGTGGCATTTTTTGCCCCCCCCGAAAGTCCCGCTTAGGCAAATGCCTTGTTTGACTTGTGGTAAATACATCCCTGTGTGTCTGTGTGTATGTGTATCAGTGTGTGTGGATGTGTATACACTACACACAAATGCACACCTGTATTCAAACACCAACATTCACACACATACTGCATACAAAAACATGCTTACAATCAAACACAAATTGTAAAATATATAAATATATATATACACACACACACACACACAATATACACGTGCTGCACCTACTATGCACACATGCACTGCATCCATTACACATGCACACACTGTGTCTACCTTACACATCCACTTTACATAGTTACATAGTTAAGCAGGCTTAAAAGAGACATGTATCCATCTAGTTCAACCTTCCTAACATCTGTTTTTTGCTGTTGATCGAAAAGAAGGGGGAAAAAAACTGTCTGAGGCACTTCCAATTTTAAAACAAAATAGAATGTATCCATTGGATCAAGAAGCTATTACCCTACAATTGAAAAATTATATCATTGACGATTATGTTTTTGCAAGTATGCATCTAGTTGGTGTTTAAACATCTGTACAGACTCTGATAAAATCACTTCTTCAGAAATCTTATTGTACTTACGGTAATAAAATGCTTCCTTTGCCTAAGACTAAATCATTTTTCATGAAGTCTAAATGCATGAACTTGTGTCCTATATATAGTCCTATTTGTGAATAGATTTCCAGACCATGGTTTGTATTGAACCTGGATATATTTGTATAATGTTATCTTATCCCCTCTTAGGTGCCATTTAATGATCCCATCTGAGAGGTTTAAACTTGTTAACCTTTCTTCATAACTAAAATGCTCCATTCCTTTTATTAATTTTGGAGTAGACATGTGCAATTCGTTTCGTTGCGAATGTCAATCCAGACGAATTTCGGGCAATTTGGACATTCGGATACTTCCGAATGCCCGAATAGCTGAATTGGCGAATTTCGTAAGTGCTGAAGTGCCAAATTTCGGAAGTGCTGAATCGAACTGCTGAAGTCCCGAAGCGCTGAATGTCCAAATAGCCGAAGGGCTGAATTTCGGATTTGCCGAACCCCTAGTCACTCCCTCCTCCCAAAAAATTAATAAACCCCTGCCTACCCCCCTCATCCCAAAAATAGTGAGGGGGGAACAAGTTCTTTGGAATTTACATTTTTATTTAGGTCCCCCACCCACCGCTCAGGGGTGGGGGCCAGTGGGGAAGACAAAAGGTCCCCCCTTATTCTAATTTATGGCTCCCACCTGCCACTCAGGGGTGGGGCCCGGTGGGAGGACAATAGGTCCCCCCCTTTAGGTCTCCCACCCGCCACTCAGGGCATGGGTGGGGGCTGGGGGGGCCACAGGGGAGGACAAAAGGTCCCCCTTTATTCTAATTTAGGGCCCCCTACCGCCACTCAGGGCACTGGTGGGCGCTCAGGAGGGGGGATGTCTAGTAAACAGGCTGCTCGCTGTTTAATAGACATGCCCCTAGCAAGTAGGGGCAGAATTTTTTACCATGGGAATTAGGGAGTTATCTATTAAGCGGCTGCAAGAGAACATCCGAAGTCCTGAAGTTCTGAAGTCCCGAACTGAACCAAAGTGCGAAAGTTACAAAGTTTTGAATTTCGGAAGTGCCGAACCAAAGTGCCGAAATTCCGTAGTTCCGAAGTCCAGAATTTCGGAATACCGAACCAAATTTTTTGCCCATGCACATTTCTATTTTGGAGCCCGTCTCTGCACATTTCTTGTGCCACATTAACCTTCTTTAGAGCAGGTGCCCAAAATCGCACAGCATATTCAAGCTGTGCAAAATGATATTCTCATCCAGAAAATTAATGTCCTTTTTTATACATGACAATATCTTACTGGCCTTAACCACTGCTGATTGGCATTGCACAGTGTTGCCTAGTTTTTTTGTCTATAACAATTCCCAAATTCTTGCATGTTGTAAATCCCTATTTCACTACCATTTAGGGTATAAATTGCTTGTGCATACTTCACACCGAAGTGCAAAACTTTGCATTTTTCTACATTAAATTTAATCTGCCATTTGAATGCCCAGTCCCTCAATCTATCTAAATCCCTCTGCAGCAAAGTAATATCTTGCTCACATTGTATTACTTCACAGAGTTTTGTGTCATCTGCAAACACAACATATACAAGGCGGGCCCCCGGGGAACCAGACCTTGTGCAGTGTTAAGGGCCCCAACATTTCTAATGGTATTCCTGGCAAGAAGATAAACTTGATGGAAGTGGCTGACAATAATGTGGAGGTACGTAAATATGGGGTATTGTGACTGAATACAGTAATGTGTTGAGCACGTAAGGTGAGTGAATTTCAGAAATGTGTCTTTACATTTAAAATGTGTAATTGCTTTTTTTTCCCTTCTGATTGTACATTTTTCTGTTGAATAAAAATACTCTTATCTCTTTAAGTATTTGACTTCTGCTATTAATGTTATCTCAGTTTTATTGAGCTGTGTATTTTTCTGGCACCAAAAATAAAATGTTGAATGCCAGTAGAACATGACTCAATATCCCACTTGCCCAAACAACTAGTACACACAGCCACTGCCTATGTCCATTACATTTTGCAGTAAAATTTTCCACCCCTGTTTTTTAAAACCCAATCAGACAGCACACAGTAATCTGACTCCTTGTGTTCTCTTGGTCAGGGTAATTACAGCACTTCATTTTATCCAGAGAAGGAATGAGTGGCAGACCTGTAACAAGACATAGAGGGTGAGTGTTACTTTATTAGTGGCAAATTGCATTATATAATTGTCTAGTAACATTTTAAATACTGCTACCTTTTTGTCTTCTTCACTAACACTGCAGCAGTTAGACATAATAACGTGTTAATATGTTAACAAATATATATTTTTAAATTGATAATCAAGGAAGCATACATCCTTATACATTGTGTATGTGTGTTTCCATATGCAATGACATGTAGTAATTGACTGCAATATCTGAACACATGTGAATAGCAGGGCTATTCACTAAGGTGAAAATTCAAAGTGAATTCAAAGTGAATTTCAAATTTAAGTCCAGATTAACTGAATGGAAAGTTTTAACCACACATTTGAAATTCATTTTGCATTCACCTTGAATCCTCACTTTAGTGAATAACCCTGTATATTTGTAATTTACCTGCTTCTCTATTCTGTATACCTCAGGAAAATGGATCTTTACATCATGCACACAGTTTTATGAGACTGATTGATCAAGGAATTAATTAGATGTATTTCGAACAAGCCTTTGAAAAAAGCTACATGTCTTGATAATGTCGAGAAAAAAAGGGCTACAGTGCTAAATTAGTCAGCACTGATGCCCCACAGCAGGTTACGGAGGAACTCAAGGGCATGCACCCTGAATATATTGGAAAAATAGACAAAGTGGAGTGGGGATGACCACTAACATAAAAGTGGGCAGTCCACATTCCATATAGGAGAACCTCCAGGCAATTAAAATTTTATATTTGTGGTATAAGCCTTTATTAATATATAGCCGAAAAAATACTAAACAAATAAAGTGTGCAAACCCAAATGCTATAAGTGATAAGATAAATAATAAGTCTTAAAATATGGGAGATTTGTCACACATATCAACTTACATCAGAAGACCCTGTGTACCTTGAGTTTATATCTCTAATATAATCAGATAGTAACCTCCAGGCAGTTAAAATTTCGTATTTGTGGTATAAGCCTTTATTAATATGTATAGCCGAAAAAAATACCAAGTGCTTAAAGTGAAAAGATAAAGCATAACTAGAAAAGCTACAATTTCTAGAGAAATTTTGTGAAGTGTTCTTGCCTCCACCAGTAGTCTACAACAGGAATGGGCGGACTAATTGGGTGGAGTGGCTTGAGTAACTGTTGTATGTTTGGAGTGGCTGGAGTAACTGTGGAAAGGTTGGACTGGGCAGAGTAACTTTATGAAACATTGATTAGCTGTATTGTTGTAACATTGTATGTTACTGTTTTTCTGTTACAGGTATAACGCATTGACTAACATGGAAATATATTTATTAAATGTGATAGTGCTCACTTTTGTGTTATCAAAACTGTAGGAATGACAGCAGTTTAGAGAATGTGTTTCATCTAGCAGCCTCTGTGTTCCTGAACACTCTGCTGGCTGCTCACACACCTGGGTTCCTATGGCAACTCACTATACAGCAAGGGCAGAGAAGAGCGGTTAAAAGCAAACTGCTCCAAATTGCTCATTTCACTGGTGGTTGCCATCTTCAAATTGTCTTAGTTTAAAAACTATTAATCCTACAGTGAAGAGCTTTATATTGTGAGAATCACAAGACCCAGACTTACATGTTGATGCATATGTCTCTGAAATATTAAAAATGAAGGCACAGTCGCAGTTTAGAAATTGCCCTTCAAATTTGAGGTGGCTAGAGTAGAGTTTCAATGAATGTCAATGGACAGCGTGAGTTGCAAACAAATGGTCATATTGTGAAAACTATCAGGACTATGGCTTAGCCGTGGACATTTTTAGTGGCAGCAGGTATAGCTGAACGTTTTGATATAAGATTTGTGTAGGTGGGCTTAAAAATGAGGGAGTGGTGGCAGTTTAGAAATCATGTCCTGATTTTTCAGCTCCCACTTTAGCTTTTGTTAGCTCCCACTCTAGTTTTGAACATTCCGCCATTCATTCCTATGGGACCAATTTTGCCACAAAAATGACGATATTTCATGAACCATTTGGCGAAACATTCCACAAAGTAATAGCACACCGATTGGGAGTATATTACTGTCTATGTAGTGTAAAAACTGTGGGAGGAGTTAGGGTGGTAAATTTGGCTATAATAAAAATAATAATATATATGTGAGATAATAGTAAGTGGTCTTGCCATGCAAGAACACATAATAATAAGTCTTAAAATATGGGAAATTTGTCACACATATCAACTTCCTATAACATACATCAGAGTACCCTGTGTACCTTGAGTATATATCTTTAAGTAAGTTAATAGACAGGTGGATACCTCTAATATAATCGGATAGTAACTATGTATGTATGTATGTTACAGGAAGTTGATATGTGTGACAAATCTCCCATATGTTAAGACTTATTATTTTGATTTATCTTTTCACTGATAGCACTTGGGTTTGCACACTTTATTTGTTAAGTATTTTTTCGACTATGTATTAAAAAAGGTTTATACCACAAATATGAAATTTTAACTGCCTGGAGGTTCTCCTATATGGAGTGTGGACTGCCCACTTTTATGTGAGTGGTCCTCCTCACTCCACTTCGTCTATTTTTCCATGTCTTCATAATACCTCACACATTAGATAAACACACTTTAGATGTGGAGGTGTAACACAAATACTCTGCCACAAATTAAAGAGAGGGCATAAGAATGTGTTATTGGATCTTTTGATACTTAGTGGGGATTAACCCTATCAGGACCATTTACTTTCCATACTGTCATCACAATTTGGTCCTTGAAGACTGTGTTTCAGGCCAGGATGGAATGACCTACTTATTCAACATCTATGAAGCCCATGTGATTTTGAATGACTTGTACATTCAATTTGACAACAGGTTATTTAAAGGGCAACTTTAAACAGCATAGCCATTACAGATTAAAGGAACATTCAAACATTGTATTCATTTCATTCTAACATTGGAGGATTTTTCTTATCTTTAGATTCAAGATACCCAGTGTCTCTTTAAAGGGGGATTACTTACCTCTAATCTTGCAGAGAGATGATCTTCTCTCAACTGCTTCACTACCTCAGGGAGTTCATCACTAGTGATGATCAATGTTTCTTACAGAGAAGCATTAGGGGGCATGGTGCATGTGTGGCAACTGCAATGTCAATGCTTATCATAGAGAATTTATCATTTCAAAGTCTTCACTTCCTTTTAGAGCGAGAGATCAAGGACAGTGTCCCATTGTCAGCTGACAGGTGTTCCCAAGAAGGTTTATAAAAGTGCAAATTTTTTCTTGAAATTTGAACTTTTATAAAATTAGGTTCCAGGGGCACTTTGTTACCACCTATATCACTTAAGAGAGCGGAAATAATTTAGAAATTTGGAGCATTCCAACGAGTATTCCAAGATATATCAGACCAATTAGCCTGTACACTAGCAGTTTAAAGTGCCTTTAAAAGTTGAGACCACAAGTGAGCAAGTCAAGCAGTGGACCCCCACATGCTGCCAGAGGCATTCATTTGCAGTTGCCACAGAGTTTGAATGTCAACCTCCATGTAAATTCATTGGTTAATTATTGCTGGATGCTTCAAGCATGAGACATCGAGCAATCGCATTGGCAAGCACTCCCCTGCATTGGATCACTGTGACAAGCTGTTACAGTGATATGAAACCTCTCAGCTCCTACTGCAGCACTGACAAGCAGGCTCTCTGCCAAATACACACCAATAGGTACAAACAAGGATTTTGCTGTTAGTTAAGGTATGCTATTACTGTGATTGCCTCCCAGGGTATTCAATCAACTTGGGGGGCAAATTCTACTATAAATAGACTTTAGGTTAAGTTTGGGCTAATATTAATGTTAGTGTTTGTGTTATATAGGGTTAGGGTTAGAATTATAGTTAGTGTTTATGTTAACTAGTTAAGCTAGGGCAGATCTTTTAACCAGTGAACAGTTTGGGTTAGGACTAGTTTTAGTTAAGGTTTGCTAGAGTTACCAAGGCTGATCTACTGAACAGGTAACTGCTCATGTTAGGGTTAGTGTTACTTATGGTTACTTAAGGGTTAGACGTGTCATCAGAGTTTGATGTTGGTCACACAGATATACCAAATAGTGTCACCTGGAAACAAGCGGCAAAAATACATTTAATGCAAAACTTGTCAAATTTGTGATTAAACAGTCTGGTTAAAAGACTTCAAATAATTCATATCAAATAGTCCATGTTTTCTTATTTTGAAAATGGAATGACATGATAAGAGTAACGTGCAGCTGGGAGCTGGTGCTGTGTCCAAAAGCGGCATGACCTAGCTAAATCAACTGGTAAAAAAATTAGAAATTTATAAACAAACATTTATTATGTCTTTAATGTGTCATAATATGGCAAAGGTCTATATAGGGTACATTGCAGCAGTAAATAAATGTATATGTAGCGTAAGGGGAGTAGTGAGAAACACATGATCTGTGAAATTAATTTACGAAAACAAAACATGTATTTGAAAAACACAAAAAAATATATATAACCAGCAGTTTTGGTTAGGATGAAGATGCAATAGTTAAATGAAAACTGTCAAAATGCTCTCAGTTAAAAATCATGATGGCTGTTCTTTCTACTCATATAAACCTTTGTGTAACAGACTTCGATATTTGTATTCTGCAATTAAAGGTATATTCTTAGCATGCCATAATTGGCAAGGGGTTAGTTTGAAAAAAAAAATAACTCCTTGCCATATTTGCCATATAACTTCAAAAAAATCTATTGAAATCCTAGTCATATTGGGCATTTTAATCTAGTTGTTGTTACACCAGTTGCGTGGAAGTTTTGGAGATTTGTTTTATTCCAAACTGCAGTTTATATAAAGTTAGGCCAATCGGGGGATTAGTTGAATTCTCATAATACAAGTCTAAATGTTGCCGAATCACAAACCAACCAAAACACACAATTGATGAGCATGTTTTCTTTGATTCATAATTCTGAATACCAAAAAAAGAAATAGTTATTAAGAAAAAGATGATTGATGGCTAAGGGACAGTGAATACATTTTGAGTTTATTCACAGAGCCAATAGTGACCAATAGAGGGATAAAAACGAGGAGCTGTAAAAAAAAAAAAAAAATCTATCTTTATATATTACAAATCTAAAATATGTATCATATATAAATATAGATTTTCTTTTACTTCTCCAGTTTTTCCCTATGTGGGTTACTCTTTCGCACTGGATTTGTGAAACAAGTGATGGGAAATAGCTCCAATCAATGTACTGCAAAATATATACATATTAGCACATTTTTGTGCACTTTGGTTCATCTGATTCATTTCCTGAAACAGTTTTTAGTACTGAAATCTGCCAAGCTGAGCCAACATATGGCCAGAATTTAATTGTTCCAAAATTAAAATTTTTGGAAAAAATGGTTCGGATGAACAGCATTTTCTCACTGTGCTCAAGTCTAGTTATCATGAGCAACACAATGAAAATGTGGAAAACCTCCCTCCCCCCCACTGTTTTAAAATATTTTTTCATAATTAGTGTTATGTTAAGTATAATGGTTATCAGATGAAACCCCAATCTGTCTTTTAAAAAAATTATACATAGTATATATACATGGGTACTCTTGAAGGTAACATCTTAAATTACAGTGGAACAAACACATAGCAAAAGTGCCATAAAGGCTTCAGTCATGGATGCATAAATCTCAGAAAATCCTTGATCATGAATGGGGTTAATGTAGTGGTTGTAGGACAAGTAGTATTTTAATGCAACCCTCCTAATTTTTTATGAAATCATAATCAATTAATTTGACAAAATAACAGACTAACATCCAAAGCCAGTGACCTCTCCTACCATTCAGATAATGTCTAACCTTTAGTCCTGTACTATCCATCTATAGTTGTTCAACTTTGGAAGTTATGATGGCACTGGAAGTGAATGTTCTACCTTATATGAGTGGCAGGTGAGGCGTTTGCCCTCTGATGCTGGGAGAGCTCTGTTTTTTGTCCAAATCCTCAAAAAAATTTTAACGAAAGTTCGGGGATAGCAGTAAAAACTCCTTGCACCACAATCTTTACAGTAATGGTCATGGTGGATATGCCAACAAAAGTGTTGCTCTAAAAATACATTTTCAACTACTCTTGTATATATTAAGACTTAGATAATGGTAAATCTGTAGCTGAATTAAATGCACAGTTACATGATTTAGATTTGTCTTCTAATTGTAAAGCCTTGAAATCTCACAAAAGAAAATTACATTAGATGGTGCCATTGTTATTATTAATAGTAGATTTGTAAGGTCTTCATCAAGTGTAGAGTTACTTTATTCAGGGAAATTTTTAAAATAATGCTTCATGGCTGTATTACCTTTAAACTGTCCATAGTTGTACAGAATCATTAAGTAAATCTTATTAATCATTAGTCTCCCTATTGCAAAATCATTTGCAGTTTCTTCGCAACCCAATTAAAACAACAATATGGCAGACTATAGTGTGACTGATTGGTCCATTTTTATAAAAAGAATTATATTTTGGCATAGTATACAATAAATGTAAAAAAAATATAAAAAATACTTAACTTTCTTTAAATGTTTTTTTTTTATTGTTACATATAGGAAAACCTTTTAATGGAAACTGCTTGCATGTATTTAGTTTGGAAGAAACTTGTGAGATAAGAAAGCTTTTTGAATAGACGTAATTTGTGTTCCAGTTAAATGTATAACTAAACAATCTTCCCTTTCCTCTTTTACTGTATGAAGGTTTATTGAATGTAATGGAAAGGTCAGATTACACATATTCTCAAGTTTATGTGTTCAAGTATTTGCCCAACTTTCATTTCTTAATAGAAACGTTCAAATTACTTAAATGACAAAAAATGTGGTCCAAGAGAGGTGGCCCAGTATTCTACTGAAAAATAAGTTAAATCATTGATATTGCAAATATTTGTGTTCCTTAAGATTTCAACACTTAAAATCATTTTGTTTAGTCTTTACATTGAAGTGCATAAGTGTTTTAATAAAATCCCTGGAGATAAGGAGCCCTAGAGCCTATACATTACACTGCAGACTACTAGGTTACTTTGTATTGATCCTCTGGTAACAATCAGGCTATCTCCTAAATCTACATAAATGTACATTGTCATCTCATTCTTTATCGGAATTACATTTCCAAATGTGCACAGCATTGTCGTATTAAGATATTTCGGTCACACATACTGGAACATAAGAATGTAAATTCAATTCAGTTCAAATGTTCCTAAAATTTGCAATATGCTGATGTACCATCACCTGATACCAATTTGTTCTCAATCTCCCTTGAAATAAATGTGTCTACGCTAAATCTCACATTACATTAAATTGTCCTTAAAAGACAGAAAGGAGATGTGGTCACTTATTTATGTACACTGCAGACAAAATTCCAAACAACATGGACATTGTTATTCTAAGTGCTTCACTGATCTTCACATTAAACTAACCTTTACAAATTCCAGGAATGAATGCTGTGACACAAGCTGTAAATATGATCTAAACTTATAAAACTAGAACACTAACTTCAGTTCATAAGGAGGTCATACTCCCCGATAAACCAGCTGTAGGCACAAAAAGAAATATGCTGCAGAAAACCATCAATGTGATCTTCTTATTTCCAATCCACTTACTGGGTATGGGCAGTATTGCTACTGCATGTGACATTTGACCTAAAGGCTTATCTCAGATTTACGGAAAACGTAGTGATAGCATGTTTCATTAAGAACAATTTACAATGGCCGCAGAATGCTGTGAGTAGATGTTTGAGACACACATTTAAATCTGTCACAGTTCATATCATGCTATAACTTTTTCTTATTTCTTAATTGGCCTACGACTTTTTGCCGTATTGCATTCAAATGTATAAAAGTATGTATTTATATATCATCTAAACAAAACATCAAAAATGAAAGGCACTGATTCTTGACCATACATATTTCTCAGTAGAAAACCAGTATTTATGCTGCTCAAAATAACTGAAAATTCTAATTTGTACAATTCAGTTAATAGGTCTACATTTTGCAGTTCATTTACACCATTGCTGTTTAGAATACAAACCTCTTTGTAAGCTTTCATAACCTCATTATCTCAACAGTAGGATGAACAATCTTCTTTGACTTCAATGGGGGCTCGGCAATGGAGCTCTGCTTGGAGTAAAATCAGTATATATAAAATGGCAACATATGTCTCTCAAATTTAGTAATCCTGTCAGTGAATATTTAAGTGATGTGAGCAGGAACACAGATGCGCAGTAACATGACCAAGATTAACACCCATATTGGCCTGTGTTAGGACTGAGATAATTTTGCCAACTAGCCGAGGTGATGAATGTTAAGTTTACCCAAGAATTATTACATTATCACAGGTCAATTATTTTTTTTGTAATGGTGGAGGTAACTTTAAGAAATAAGTGAATTACTGGAAACTTTGATCTACGTAGGAGCAAACAGTTGTCAATTTCATACACGCAAATTTAATTTAATATTAGATCCATAACGTTCTTAGCTTATTGAATATTCTTCATTTGGGGCTTTGTTTAAAAACTGTCTGATCTAAAAAGTGCTGCAGAAATCAAAAAGGGGAGGCATCACCAATGCTACGTGCCTTCTGGATCCACTGGTTTCCTTGGTGACTACCCCACTTTTAGTACGTTAGACCACTTTTCAGAACACAACCATTTTTATAAAGAACCCTCTTCCACAATCTCTTTGGGTCTATTCACAAGTGATTTTGGGTGAATCATTAAGCCACACACTTTAGACCATAATAGCATTAACATATAGTTTTTTTTAAAAATCATCATCTCAAGATAGCTGGAAATTTTTGTCTACCTTGTTTTTTTGGTTAAAATGTTGTGTTTATTGTCAATGTACCATAAATCACTGAATATGCCTCAAATTAACAGAATGCACCTGGTACTCAGCAATTAATGACATGGACCATCACAGAACTAATGGAGAACAATTTGAGGACCTCCATCCATTTTTTTCTTATGCTATATTTCATTACCATTTTCATTGTAAGCAAGCAAGGTATAGTTATCAGCCACTCTGGATAGAACAAGGTTATTTTCTTCACTAGTTCCTCATGCTTTCTCCCAACAAACACTTAATCTTTTACACACCTGGTGCTTTTCCCACTGCATGGAATGTTATTTGCTGGCTTATTCTTGGGAAGAAGATGAAATGTCACAGGTGACGTTAAGGTCAATGCAATTGAGATAATTGTATACCTGATAAGAGTGTTTCCTTCATGTTACAGTTTTATAGCTGAGATCCACAATTTGACCAATTTAGTCCACCATTAATTTAGTAACTTTAACTCTGTTCCTGTAAAAAGAAGGAAGGTCAAACTATTTTTCTGCTTGAAAGGTGTTTTAAATAGCACAAACAAATAAATTATTTTCATTAAACTCCAAACAGGAAATTATTCTAAATTAAAGATAATTGCAGCTGTCATTAGTCACTTTATTAAAGTGTCCATAAATAAAATGCATTTAAAATTCATTGGTGCCCATCTGATGTGCTAAAAAATAGTGACATTTGCACATTACTTTTTCAAACGTTAAGATGGTCTGTTTTCCTGGAGGTTTTTTTTACTAGCTAAAAGCGCCCTCTAATGACAATTATGTGACAGTTCAACTGAAATAGCAAACGATTGCTTCTTGCATTTCTCACCTTGTGTTCTATACTAATAGCAAGTATTAGAAAGTTTTACCACTGCCCATTATGCTATTTTCAAAACACAAATATTTCTCTATTATGTTTGCATTTGTATTTACTAATTGCATTCAAATACCTATTAAAAGCTTCCTTATAAATTATTTTGAAGTTTGTTAATCACCGACCTATAAATACAAAAAGGTTTATTCAAGAAGGCATAATTTAAAAAATTCCTTGTAAAATGAAAAGGAATTTCAAAATTTAGCCCAATGTAGCTGAATTAAAATGATAAAAATCAGGATAAGATGTGCTGTGCCTTTAAAACTAATCATATATGCAGAGGGTTCACCTAAATAATATTCAAATACACCTATAAAAACACACACGTGTTAATTTACATAAATCTGATAAAGTGCATTGTGTAGGTATGATCAGCCCAAATCATGTAATAAAAAACTTGCATCAAAAATATCATCAAAAATAACCTCCATAAATGTGTACATAAATAGAAAAAGACAAATATATAGTGTAAAACTGTTTAAAAAAAAAAAGGAACTTTTAATACACTCGCAAGTGCAGCAGTAAATACTGATCCAACTGTAAAGGTTCCACAATAAACATCCAGTGTCTGATGCGATTTCCCACAAAAACGGATAGAACCAATGGACAGCTTGAAAACCTTTATTCTGATTAAAATGCGCTTACAGGAAAACAGGAATCTTTATTGATTAATAACTATGAGTCCAGCAACAGTCATCGGTTCCTGGTCACTTGGAGTTGCTTGCAGTACTTCCTGGAGGTTGGGTAGAACGTCTTTACGTTGTGAAAGTGTGTTGCGCCATAACCACAACTTCATCAGATCACTAACATTGCCCTATTTATACGTATCGTACCATCCACAAATGGCATGCAGAAATAAAACAAGTCTGTTCTTCATACAATATCATGCATAAAGACTCCACTATCAAGCACCTATTCGAGAGACAGCAAAAGCAACTACCTATTTCTCATCTCCTTTGGACCACTTGGGGTGATCCCAGTCCAAATCAGAAGGGCAACCCAGACCCTACACGGGCCTACGGGTGACACCTCCCACACTAGCATCCACCACGATTCACCCAATATGTTGGAGGCCCTGTATTTTCCTAACACAAGCAATGACTCGCTTTATCTCAAATCCAGGCTGGAAAGGCTCTTTGATGATTTCTGGTGACAGCTGTAATGTAAGATGCATTGGAATGGCCTGCTACAATCTAGTGACCACCTAAACCACTTGCCAGCTTTACGCCAACATCAGAAGTACTCGGTACTCCCAGTGAAAAAAGCCCAAGTATGAAGGCAGAACATACAGAGAGGTTCACTGAAATGCAAAGCACCTCAGAGACCGACATTGCAGCAAACCACAGCTGGGTCTCAAGAAAAGTTGAAGGTATTGTGGGAAGCCCTGTTCCTGGTGTATGCTATGACCAACCGACTGACCATATTAGCTCAGAGGCTTGAAGCATTTTTCTAAAGAGCTGGTCTGCACTGTACCTGTGGAGGGCTTAGGGTGAACTGGGACTTGGGGACTAAACTGTGAAGTGCTCTTGCTAACTCATTTTGCCATTTTAAGACTACATTGTCTCATGCTTTCCTGGATTATATCTGGGTTATTACCTACACTGGTGCACCCCTTTTTAACTGTTGTTTTTTGTTATTTGTTTTTTGTTATTTTATTTTCTTGTCTGGTTTTACCTGATACTGCCTACACTCATCGCTTTATCTACAGGGGACCTCCTAGGAAATACTATATGTTCTATCTTAAGTCAGTTCAATCCGTCATATCTCTTGTTTTGTGTTTCTTTATCTCTGATTCTTATTAGCCTAATATGTTTTATTTGTATAAAAAGTGCAGTATTTCTTATGATGTTTTCTATTACTTCTATAATGTTTATCATCTACACATTTTTGCATATACTATATACTCCTCCTAATCTATATTAATGTTAGAAAATATATAACATTTTAAAATATATAAATTGTAAAAATATAATTTAAAAAATGTGAAAAGAATCTAAACAAAATTTGAATAAAAAAAAAGAATCAAACTCTGTATTTAAAACATGGGGTTCCAAAGTGCACAATTCATGCATCCACTTAATTTCTTCCTTTCCAATATCAATAATGTGATTATCTATTCACCATATTTTGTAACTATTTGAATACCCCAAACTATTAGTCCATTATGGTCTTTTTATGATTTTTTTTTTCATATGTCTCTTTTTATTGTGAATTTTCTATTATCACATAATAACAGTACACATAACATCAGCATATGCAGTTGCAATGTCACATTCATTAATAACAACATTGCATATAAGGGATGCATTTTGCAATATGTTTCCTACAACTATAAAGAGTGTGTTGGGCAGTCCAAGTATATTGACACCATATTACAAATACTTCACATTATAAATAACATTGAAGGCATACTTGTGAGTTATTCAAACACAATATATCATGGAATGTTAACACATTGTACACATTGTCCCGTCATGTGCATGGGTAAGTACAGCTGCATATATCTCGGGGAATAGATGTGTGATAGGTAAATGAAAGGAAATTTGGGGTGGGTAGCCAGATATGATTTAATTTTTTTAATGTGCTGAAATACTGTGTTGGTTGGAACCTTTTATAACATTATTTAAATGTTAATAATTTGTTTTGTATAGGGGGAAAATTGTACGACCTACATATTGTAGACTGCATGGACAAATATGAAGATAAATCACACTTTATAGCTGACTTGCTCATTTTTTCCAATATGACTATTTTAACCTAAACATGTACCTTACTTTGAACTCCCTAATTTACATTTGTATTCACAATAAATAACTTTTGATTTTGACACACAGTATATCATTGTATTTTATTTCAGCAAAGCTATCAATTTTCCAAAATGCACATAAAAATTATCCAGTTTGTTTTAACTAAATTACAATATTTTATTTGAACAGTAGTGTTGCCTTTACATAAAGGAACACATAGGATTCCATGTTTTTTGGCAACTCAATAGATCAAGTGTGTCACTTCATATGCCACAGAGTTCATTGTGTAAGAGAGGTACAGGCAGCTATCCTTGAAAAGGCAACTGAGCTTCACATGGTTGAATAACTTGAGGACCAAATAATATATCCATTAGCTTGCACAGCACAGCACCTTTCATTAGGATATGCACCCAGCTGCCTTTTCATAAAATATGAAAGTGTATTGATTATTCACTTATAACGAACGTCTATAGCTATCTATCAGACAAACAAAGTCACCTTTACTTTTTTGAAGAACTACCAAATACAGTTTATTTTATAACAAGCTTAAAAAACCCCACAAAATACCAAAAAATTGGTCAATAATAAGCAGATGTACATAAAATAATTTTTTAATGCTCATTCTTCTAATCTTCAAAAAGATTAACCAACATTGAAGGAAAAAAATGTAAGTTGGGATCTAAATTAGCCCTTCATAAAAAAGTGTGTCTAGACACACTTTGCACCCATTGGAATATCCTATACAAAATATATGATACAGCTCATTAAGAAGTATTTGCAAGGCAGTTGCCTACTTCTTGAGTGTAGTGTAGCTCCACAGAGCTTAACTACCAGGAAGTAACAGGACAATATATTGATTGATTGACTGGTTTGGTGTCTACCAGTTATTGAGCAAAGGACAATCGCTATAGTTTAAAAGTGCAATCTTTGATATAAAGCATGATCTATTTGGCCATGTTGTTAAGTTGTGCCTGTATGAAATGTCAAAATGTGTTTTACACATAACCAAAAATGTGTTACTGTTGTTACTTTTTATTCGGTTACTGGAGAGCTTTTATTCTTATATTTGTAACTTGTGTTCTAGTGCATGTAGCACCAAATACAGGATGGCAACATACATATGTTAAGACATGGAGCTGCTGCCTAGGAGGATATTAATAATGATAATAAGAGTAGTCTTATCTGGAAAATCAAGTGGCAAAAAATAATAACAATTACCATCAATCTGTCATACTAATAGAAAAGTACATAAACAGTTCTTTAAAAATCCAATAGTGATGCTGGTCCTAATTTGTGCTTCGCAAAAGTGTCCACAGATTCTAAAAGAAAGATCAGAGACTGAAGTTGCCACTAAAGAACACCTTTATTCCCACATGCAAAATTAAATTTAATTAAGATGGAGCAGTAAGAATGGCATAGGAAACAATACTCCTACAATGCCCCTGAACAAGGAGCAGGATCCAGCAGGACCAGGATCTGCTACTTGGTCAGTTGAAATGGTCCATAGTGGAACCAGCATCACTACTGAACTTGTAATAAACTGTTTGCATATTTCCTAGTAAGTCTAGTGACATGACATGCATTCACTAATTGTTTATCATGTGTGCCACATTAATTCTCTGGACAAGATTACTGTTTTTTGTTTTACAAAGGTATTTATTTTAGACATGAATCTTTTTATTCATACACCCAGAAAATATTTAGGTAAGATTCATCAAAGTGCTGTATTCAAAATGGTGTAAAATACTGAAAGTGGGGCAATCACCATTAAAATCAATGGAATATGTAGTGAAGATAATGGCTAGATATATTGTGATAAAGATGAAGTAGAAGGTATTCTTAAAATGTAGAAGCTCTCAAAGTTTTTTTTATATTTTATTCCTTTTAGTTCAGTATACTAGATAAATATCAGCTGGGTAAAGCAGTATTACTGTCACTGACGTAGAACTGAGAATCCCTGTCAAGACCACCTTACCAGTAAGTAAGCATCCTTTGGCAAGACAGAATGATATACATCCACCTACCTCAAATCCTCATAGATTGTAAGCTCATTTGACCATGGCCTTCTTAACCAAATATCACCTTTCTACAGTTGTGCAGTGCTGCAGAATATTTTGCTGCTATATACATGCTAATGATAATTCAAATAATAATATGATTAACCCCTTCACTACCAAGCAATTTGCACACACACAAAAAAACACCCCTAGAATCCAAGTATTCTGGGTGTCCTTGAAAGTTTCAGTATGCATAGAATTGTAGCTCTGGATCTGTTGTCCCGATAGCCATTGCAAACAAATTTGTTTTTAAATTATTAAAATAATGTGTATAAAGGTTTGCGGCAGTTGTGCATACATAATTGGTGACATGACAGGGTTAATGCTGACATGTTAGAAATTAATTTTATTTTGGTCTGTATTCTACAAATTCCACAGAAATTCACGAGAGCACAAGTCAGTTGTCAATGATCATCCACTAGAAATGAGAAGTAACCAGAGATTGCAAATTGCAAACCAAAATAGTTGAGCTGCAAGCACGGCCAAGCTGGAGATAATTTTTTTGTGTGAGATTCTGTTATTTCAGTGCAAACCTAGTCAAATCCAAATATAGTAGATGACTATGGCAGTGGATTGTGGAGAAGCTACATTGGTAGAAAGTAGGCCACAATAATATGTGTATTACTCTGAATAACATAATCTATACCAAATAAATACCTTACATACTGACAGATGTATTAACTCTATACATTTTATAGTTTTAATATGATTCACTTTTAGTTTTTAGAAACACATTTACCTAAAGTTTTAATTATTATGTATTTCAGTAAGTGGTGGCCTCTCTGCAAGTGTGATTCAATCATGGTGGCGTGCAAAGGAATATGGACACAACCTTTCTGGAAAGCAGTGTCGGGAGAATTTTTGGCAATGTTGATATTTGTCCTACTAAGCTGTGGTTCCACTATCAACTGGAGCAGCAAAGATAATCCTCAGCCAGCAGACATAGTCCTGATCTCTTTGTGCGTTGGACTTAGCATTGCTACCCTCATACAATGCTTTGGACACATAAGTGGTGCACATATTAACCCAGCTGTGACCGTTGCAATGGTTTGCATGAGGAAGATAAGTCTTGCAAAGTCAGCCTTTTATATTGTTGCACAGAGTTTAGGTGCAGTAGCTGGAGCAGGGATTCTCTACTTAGTTACACCATCAAATGTGGCTGGAGAGCTGGGCGTTACCAAGGTAATCAATTATGCTAAAATTCTCCTTACAACTTTTCATAAAAATATATAACAAAAATTATGTATAATGTTTTAAAACAGTGTGCCAGTTTAGGAACTTGTTAACGATATTCCTTCCAACATTTACCATCTGTATCATATGTTTAGACCTTGGTGAGCAGTACTTTTTGCATTTTCTTAACTGAGTTCTCATTTTGTATAATATGTTATTAAATATTTTTTAAATTAAGTATATTATTCACTTAACCTCAAATTTTACATCTGATGTTATTGTTCAGAAACTAAAGTGGAGTCAAGTGACTTGAGAAAAATGACTCCTCTCATGAAACTGATTCAGAAGAAATGATTCGGAGTTAAAAGAAAATGAGATGTACTAGTTACGAGAGCCACTGGTGCATCTTGACAGTACTCTGCAGAATGTAATCTTTCCTTTTTTAAGAGGTTGTAACAGTTTACAAATGGGTATTGGAAAATAATCTTGTACAATATAGCATATGTTCATGTAGGGTCATCACATTGAGTAGTGACAATGAAAGTCATAATGAGAATATATGGTTGTGGGTAAATATCCTTGCACATAGAACAAAAAAAGAGATCGAAAGAGAATTTACTGCTTTTCAAGAAAAATAAATGTAAAAGGGCAAGACAAGTGATATCACTGATACAATAAAAATGAGTTAGGGTACGTTAAGTTGCATTCATTAAGACTTTAGCCAATAAAAGATTAAGATTAATTATTTGTTTACATACATGATTCATCATAATCCTGTAGTTTGCAGCCCACGTTGTTATGTATAATTTTTAAAGTTTTAAATTAAAGGCATAAAAAGTACAGACATAGGGCTTGATCACAACTTTGTCACCACTTTTTAGTAACCAGCTGCTATTTGTTAATTAATCGCAAGGAGTTACTTGCATCCCCTACTAGAAGCCAGTAACTAAGGAAAAGTTAATGTCTCCTGTTGTTTTTTATGGAAGATGTTATCTGTAACTTAGCAACTGGTTTCTAAATGGCTCCAGACTAAACAAAAGATTGTCAGCCTACATTACATGTTTTCCTTATATACTATATAAAATTAATGTGTTAATAGGCTAGTTTATTTACGCTGGTGTACAAGCACAAAAAGTACAGGTGAGAGCAAAAAGATAATTGTAAAAAAAGTAAAATTACACAAGTATAGATAATTCTAAATAAACCATGCCTCAATATAAATTTGGTTTACAAAAAAAAAAAAAAAAGGTTACATTTGGAGAAATACTTTTTTTTTATCCCACTAAATACAATCTATGTAAAAATATCTCCCAAAATATGAAATACTCTTGTCACTGATTTTCATACACTCATGCGGAAAATCTCCAAACCACTGTGAAACCAAGCAAAAAAGTACAAGTTCACATATAGTTTTTCACATAATTTGGCATTTTCTTCTTCCTCCAAATAAAATTACTGCATAATTTCCATTAAAGTCTTGTATGCATTTTTGCTTCAAACATCCCAACTTCTTTAAAAACATTTGTTCTTTATTAGAATTACATATCTAATGCTTTTGCTAAGAAAAAATAAGTTATTAAAATCAATTATAAATGCAGTAGTACTATGAATTGTACTTTAAATTAACTGATCAGTTTGTGTTAACAAAATGTTTAAGCCAATAACCCAATAATATAGAATTACTGTAATAGATTTAGGTTAATTAATGTATTGGTATAATTGTTAATTATTATTATTATTTTTTTTTAATATGTTCACAGGTGAATAAAGACCTCTCCTCTGGCCATGGTCTGCTTGTTGAAATAATTATCACGTTTCAACTGATTTTTACTATTTGTGCAAGCTGCGATTCGAAACGCAATGATATCACAGGCTCAGTAGCATTAGCAATTGGATTTTCTGTTGCCATAGGACATTTGTTTGCTGTAAGTAAATTACAATATATATATATATATATATATATATATTACACATCCACCTATTTTTTTATGTGTACATATTAAAGAAATGTCACTTATATTGATGTTTGACATGTAAACAAATAGAAATATTTTGTTCTGAAATTAGCATTGTTCTCAAAGTTGCATTTAAATTACATATATAATGATTTACATACCATGCTCACATACTTACTTCTGAGTGGTATTTTTGTGTATTCCTTATTCTTGGGTCCTCTACCAGAAGTCTCGTAGTGTGAGGGTTCAGCAGAGGTGTTCCTAGATGTGCATCCATCTGTACATATATCTTAAATGTCTCACCTGGAATCTTCTGAAGCCATTCTCACAACTTAGGGATTACAGTCCACACTGCTCCTATCATAACTGGGACTACTACTGCCTTCACTTTCCACTTTCCTTTCTACCTTTTGCAGACCTTGGTATTTGTCCACCGTTTCATGTTCCTTTTTCTTGATGTTATGGTCACTGGGTATTGCCACAGCCATCACCACTGCAGTCCTCTGCAGTTTCTTGTCTACCACCATGATGTTGAGTTTATTGGCCACTACTTGCTTGTCTGTCTATGTCTAGAATCCTACAGGATCTTATTCCCATCATTCTCAACTCCTTTTTGTGGTATCTGGACTTAGGTAGATGTTTTGGTACACAATCCTAGCAACTTAATTGTGCCTCTCAGTGTATGTTCTCTCTGCTAACATCTTGCAGCCATCAGTTATGTGTTGGATTGTCTCTGATGTTTCTTTGCACTGTCTGCATAGTGGGTCCTGTCTGGTGTAGTACACACTCACTCCTATTAATCACGTGCTTAATGCTTTTTCCTGTGCTACTAAGATTAGTGCCTCAGTATTGTCTTTCAGTTTTGCTTTTTCCAACCACTGGTAGAATTTCATAATGTGAGTCACATCTACTAACGACTGATGGTACATCCCATTAAGAGATTCGTCTTGCCATGGATACACCTCCTTTTCTGCATTTTCTAGCTGCTGTTGTACCAGGTACTCCCTTAGAAGTTTGTCTTCAGTTGCAGTCTTTGTGATGTACTTGTGGATGCACTCTGCATTTCTTTCAGGCTTGTGTCCTTGACACTCATTAGGCCACCTCCTCCTTCCTTCTGGCTGATGTACAGTGTCTGGGTGCTGGATTGCAGATGTACTCTTCCATTCATAATGAGTAGTTTTCTTGTTGCCTTGATATCCATGGTATCCACCACTACTCTTGTCCAGCTGGGTACCTGATACCTGGTAAAGCGTATATGTTAGGCATGTATTTTGTTATTGCTAAGGAGCTAGGACTTAAGGACCTGACTGACTCTCTGGAGGCACTTAGATGTTACTATCCTCCTTACCTCTTGCTCATGCTTATCACATGTTGTGCTGATAGCTGATATCTACAGCTCCTATAAAGGTACCTAAATGTAGGCAAACAATGTAATAGATCAGCAGGAAATGCAAGCAGAATGCTTGGTTGTATAGGGAGAGGTATTAGCAGTAGAAAGAGGAATGTGCTCATGCCATTGTACAGAACACTGGTGAGACCTCACTTGGAGTATTGTACGCAATACTGGAGACCGTATCTCCAGAAGGATATTGATACTTTGGAGAGAGTTCAGAGAAGGGCTACAAAACTAGTACATGGATTACAGGATAAAACCTACAAGGGAAGGTGGATGCATGGGATAGCCTTCCAGCTGAAGTGGTAGAGGTTAACACAGTGAAGGATTTTAAAAATGCATGGTATAGGCGTAAGGCTATCCAAACTATAAGATAAAGCCAGAGACTAATGAAAGTATTTAGAATATTGGGCAGACTAGATGGTTTGAATGGTTCTTATCTGACATCACATTCTATTTTTCTATATTTGGCTTTTTGGCGCTTCAACTTATTTAGTTTTTATCATCTTCACTCTTTTTGTTATCATCTGCCCACAATTATCTAGTCCAAATGACATTATGATGTCCTTGCTGTATATCCCAGTTAGGTGGAACAGTGAGTCAATGTCCTACTCACTCTTGGCATTTAGCTCAATGTTGTCCATGTACAATTGTAGTATAGTGAACTTGTATCCATATCCACTCTTCATGATGACCTGGTTAAGGGGGTTGAGGCCTATGCAGAACTACATTGGGCATACTGCATCACCTTGGTATGTGGTACACTTGATGTTAACTTGTGTAATTGTCCTGGAATTGGCTTTTAGAACTGTTCTCAATTTGCACATCAAGCACTTGATAAGGGTCTTAGTGTCTTGGTAACTTTGTATAGAGCCAAGCATTCCAGTAACCATGTGTGTGTTGCATTGTGTAATTGGTCTGTAAGGTCTTGGAATCCAGAGTGACTGCTTGCTTTAACAGCAGTTGTTGTTTTAAGTCTTTGCTGTTGTTTCCAATACACTTCTGAGTATTGCTCAGGTATGGACTTATCTGCTCATTGATCCAGGAGGCTATGATGCCTGACAGGACCTTCAATGTTGTTGGTACTTAAAAGGTGTTTTTCCATTTAAGGGTCTTCAGGAACAGTATTGAGCTGTCTTGTGTTTGCCAGCCAGGTTGGCAGCCTGTTGCTAATAGTAGATTTATTTGTGCTGCTAGGTAATCATGCAGTGTTGTTAGGTGAGAATCATGTCAGGTTCTGGTGCTGACCAACTGTTCATGTAGTTTACTTGTTGTTGGATGGTGACTGATTCATGCTCTAGGTGCAGTGGTTAGCTTTCATTTACTGGGCCTTGGTGTTAAGTGATGCTTCTCGCAGATGTTCTTCTAGTAGTGTTCAATCTTAGGTCTGGATCGGTCTTGTGGGGATATGCCACGGTGCTTGTTTATACCTGGTAACTTAGAGCGATCTTTCATACACTGATACAGTGCCTTGCAAACGTATTCACCCCCTTGGCATTTTTCATGTTTTGTTGCCTCACAACCTGGAATTAACATGGATTGTTTGATGATTTGCATCATTTAATTTACAGAACATGCCCACAACTTTGAAGATTTTATTTTTATTGTGAAGCAAACCACAAATAGGACAAAATAACAGAAAAAGTAAATGTGCATAACTATTCACCCCCCTAAAGTCAATACTTTGTTGAGCCACCTTTTGCGGTAATAACAGCTCCAAGTCGCTTTGAATAAGTCTATATGAGCTTGCCACATCTTACCACTGGGACTTTTGCCCATTCCTCCTTGCAAAACTGCTCCAGCTCCTTCAAGTTGGATGTTTTGCGCTTGTGAACAGCAATCTTTAAGTCTGACCACAGATTTTCTATTGGATTGAGGTCTGGGCTTTGACTATGCTTTAGCAGTGTGTTTGGGGTCATTGTCCTGCTGGAAGGTGAACCTCCATCCTAGCCTCAAATCACGCACAGAGTGGTACAGGTTTTGCACCATCCATCTTTCCCAAAACGCTGACCAGTTTCCTAGTCCTGGCTGCTGAAAAACATCCCCACAGCATGAGGCTTCCACCACCATGGTTCACTGTGGGGATGGTGTTCTTTGGATGATGTGATGTGTTGAGTTTGCGCCAGGCATAGCGTTTTCTTTGATGGCCGAAAAGTTAAATTTTAGTCTCATCAGACCAGAGCACCTTCCTCCATTCATTTTGGGAGTCTCCCACATGCCTTTTCGCAAACTCAAAACGTGCCATTTTGTTTTTTGCTGAAAGTAATGGCTTTCTTCTGGCCACTCTGCCATAAAGCCCAACTCTATGGAGCGTACGGCTTATTGTCGTCCTATGTACAGATACTCCAGTCTCTGCTGTGGAACTCTGCAGCTCCTCCATGGTTACCTTAGGTCGCTGTGCTGCTTCTCTGATTAATGCCCTCTTTGCCCGGTCCGTAAGTTTTGGTGGGCGGCCGTCTCTTGGCAGGTTTGCTGTTTTGCCATGTTCTTTACATTTGGTTATGATAAATTTGATGGTGCTCCTGGGGATCATCAAAAATTTGGATATTTTTTTATAACCTAACCTTGACTTGTACTTCTCAACAACATTGTCCCTTACTTGTTTGGAGAGTTCCTTGGTGTTTGGCTAGTGGTGCCTCTTGCTTAGGTGTTGCAGCCTCTGGGGCCTTTCAAAAAGGTGTGTATATGTAATGACAGATCATGTGACACTTAGATTGCACACAGGTGGACATCAGTTTCACTAATTATGTGACTTCTGAAGGTAATTGGTTGCACCAGAGATTTTTATGGGCTTCATAACAAAGAGGGTGAATACATATACACATGCCAATTTTCGGTTTTCTATTTCTAAAAAATAATTTTATGTGTATAATTTTCTCATTTCATTTCACTTCACCAACCAGACTATTGTGTTCTGATCCATCACATAAAATTCAGATTAATAAATCATTGAACTTAAGTCTGTAATGTAACAAAATAGGTCAAAAGTCAAGGGGGTGAATACTTTTGCAAGGCACTGTACATGTTTGAAACTGGAATTAGAAAGACACAACTATGCTATGTTGGATTTCAGCAAAAATGAACCACAATTGAATACAAACATGGGTGAGCACAGATATGCTATGTTAATATCCTTATAGCCATATAAATATTTTTTAAGTCAGATTTTTGCTTCTTGGCAGACAGCATAAAAAAGCAGCATCAAGCTAGCAGTTTAAAATGAAATTACATGCGTCACACGTGTGTGATGCGGAGATATGAAGAAAGAATGGACATACTGCCCCACGCCTTATTATAACATGTTTCTCAGTATCCACAGTTAGTACTATCCCACTCTAAAGTATTAAAATAATGATCAGTTACTCTGCAACAAAATAGAAGAATCCCCTAATTTAAATAGGTTGTGGGGTATCCCCAACTAAAAAAGAGTTCCTACCTCCCTTTATTCACATAAATATTTGTGAGAAAGATCACTGTGTTCTATAACATTCCATGTCACTTTTTCACCTTACAATCAAACATAAATGTTACCCTTGTGTCCTCATCTTCTATCTAGTGAAATAGGCATCCCTAGAAAAACTCCTAGAAAGCCATACACATTGAACAGCAATCTATAAAAACTTCTGCTGGCAATATAAAGAATCTTTAGCTTTAATGCCGAAGAGCAACACCGGGCATTTTTTTTACATTTTGGATAAACTTTTACAATTATTTTATATTAATATTTTCATTTGTTTAATATAACAATTTATTTTTATATGTGATATATTTTTTATATTTTGATATTCTAAAAAAACTAAAATGTATAAAAAAAAATTCAATAATTTGAAAAGCTTATACAAAATGTCTCATTCCCTATTTCAACAAGTCACAGTAAGGTATTAAATTAAATACATGAAAGATCAATGTCTGTCACTTTTTTCACTATAATCCCTGTTACCCTCATGAGTAGCGTTACTTCAGAAGCATGTTTTGCCTTGTTTTTCTTCTTCTCTGGTTTGATTCAATATTCAATTGCATGTCCTCTCAGTAAGCACTGAATACAGTAGAAAATAAAGGAAGTTTCATCTTTCTAAAGGATCACTGCATTGAAATTCTCCTCATATTCGCATTTGAATGACAACACAAACTGGTTTAAAATGAATGGATGAATTTCAGATATCAAAGAATTGTAATCCTAAATTTCTAGCTGATTAGTTTAATTAGAAATCAACGGTGGTACACTATACAGAGACTATTCTGAAAAATTTATTGTTTACTAGTGTCAAATAGATTTGGAGATTCATTTTGTTAGGAGCTGTAAATTCTCCAAATGTGGGCTGATTGCGTGGTCGTATGAATCCCTGAACTCCAAGATGAAATGTTGCTGTATCAAAAACCAATGAAGCACTCAAAGGAATGGCATGTTCATTTTGATTCTTGATTCGAAGTTATGATTGTGGTTCAAAAAAGAGAAAGATTGAAAAAAAATCAAGTGGGATCAAGTGGGAAGAGACGAATAGAGGGGGAAAATAGCAGTTAAAGCAGTGGATATAAATATATATACTACATATATAGTTTAAATCAAAATTATTATTCAACCCTCATTGAAAATTTGGTTTATAGTCAATTTTTTGATTTTTCGCTATTTTTCGCAATGAACAAATCAAACAAAAGCAATGGATGCTTTGAGTAGTTTCACCAAATTCAACTGAAAATACAACTTAGAACGACTTCTACAGCTTCTAAATTATTCAATACCTTCATGCTATCCTTGTATCTTTTTTTTATTTTTGCCCTGAAGTTTTGCAGATTTTGGGAATAGCTGGTATATTAACTTCATTCAGATTCATTTTAACATCTGGGAATCCCAGCTGCAGATTTATTTATTGTCCTTTTTGTATATTGCTGTTTCTTAGTGAAACACTTCAGCCTCATCTTATCTTTCACTTTTAAATATGTAGGTCTTCAACAAGGAGCTTTAGAGCAAGTCAATAATACAACAGATTATATTTTTAGACATGTATATGACATGCTCACCTTCGTTTTAACAATATGTATTAATAATACATTTGATGTACATGTTCTGTTCCTTTAGATAAACTACACAGGAGCCAGCATGAACCCAGCAAGATCTTTGGGACCTGCTGTTATTATGAACATCTGGGAAAGTCATTGGGTAACTGTCTTTTTTTACAATTAAGAATAGCTGCAACAATATATATGTTGCAAATAGAGTAACCTTATTTTATTATTTTTCTAATTCATATTGAATTTATTCTGAAATGATTTACAAACCATGTCAGTACGTATTCAGAGAAATGTCGGTTATACATTTCCTATTGCTATGTAAATTAAATAGTGGTAAACAGTCTTTCTGCAAAGTCCCTATCCCATACGCATTTTCAGGAACTGTTGTAATATCACCAACCATGTAACTACCTGGTGCTCTACTATTACTACTAAAGTCTGTCAAGTTCCACATTTACATAAACACACAAGCACATACACACAAACACTGACACATGCACTGGATTCATGCACTGAACCCCAATACAAACATGGACATATATATATATACACTGACACACACAAACACTAACACATGCACTGGATTCATAAACTCACACACACAAACATTGACACACATATATACACTGACACATGCACAGATTTATACACTGGCACACACAAACATACACACCCGGATGCATACACTGAAACACAAAAACATTGACACATGCACAGATACATACGCTGACACACACAAACATTGATACACATGCACACATATATACACTGACACAGAAACACTGACACACATGCACAGATGAAAATAACTCACACACACAAACACTAACACACTTACCCTCTCTCTCAGTCCAACCCCGCTGTTATATATTCCCTGGTGCTCCGGTGGTATAGATAATGCTCTGAAATCCCTGCTGAAATTCTGTCATATCCCCTGCTTCATATTTCTGGCACTCAGTATTCAGTCAGAGCACAGGTTTTAAATCTCCTTGGCTGTGCTATGACTCACTACCTGAGCGCTGGAGCCACAAACAGTGGATATGATAGAGCATTTCAGCAGGGGGTGCAGAGCATACACCCCCTGACCACCCTGGATTCACGGAGGAGTAAAGTCTGGTACTGGACTCCGTGCTGTGCTTAAGCAGGCTTGTGAATAAAGTAAGCTGCTTGTTGCTATCCTGCTTGCTGCTACTATCCTCGATGGGCCCCACTGACATGCGGAACTTCAGGACCCAGTGGCAGTTGCGACCTTTGCAGCCCTGGTAGTTCCACCACTGCACAACTATACTTTACTATAATTTATTTTTACCTTTTATGTTTGCTTTTGTGACTTTTTTTTATTTTTTATATATATATATTTTTCAATATTTTACAACAACATGAATTCAGGCTTGAATATATAAACAAATCATATTAGAAGTACATTTAACAGAATTATATAATTATATGTTCCATTGAATATCTTTAATGTTTATATGTATGAATCTTGTTAGTGTGATTGCCATTGCATATAAAACCACTTAATTTGCAAGTATTGTGCATTCTGCTTGTAATTATGAGATAGTTACCCATATTTAAATGGACTGACCGAAATGTAAAAAAGTAGTTTGACTCAAGAAAATCTGAATTAAACAGTTTTCATGTCAAACGACCAAACCTCTACCAATGCATCATCTCTATGGAAACAGATTTGACTAACCACTTCAGGAGTTAATTATCACAAGGACCAGATAGACACTGCAGGCTATATTTACATGGTGGGATTTGCCATTTCTCATTCATCACTGTGACAAATTGCAGAAAATAGGGTAAAAGTGCCTCATGAGACATTTTATATGAGAAGCTGATGACATTAGCATTATTTCAGCATTTCACATGTAGAATCTTCCCTAACAGTGTCATCCTTTGTGAAGAATTGCACTCTTCCTGCACTGCAACATATTATGCTGCAACACAGAGGCTCACGTGTGTTTGAACCAAATTATCAGTAACTAAAAAAGTATTTGAGATATTAGCTAAATACCACTTAGGTATAGTCAAAACCACGTATGCATCCACTCTCATTTTCTTTTTTTGTAAAATTAGCAATTAGATTTAAATGCTAGCTTTAAGGCCAAGCTGGGATTGTACTTCAAATAACAACAGTGCAACTACCATTCACACTTTTGGTGTTACTCATTTACCCCTTCACTCATCTATACACAATTGCAAGAGAATGCATTTATAGCCTGCAATCGTGTATATACCATTTGCATAATTGCAAATGAAATTTGTTTATTGCAAATCATTATGCCTATTTTAAAGTTCCTCAAATTCACATGGCACACTATGGACTTTAGAGAGATAAATACAGACTGATTGTGACTGTATTCACCTCTCCTCCAGATGGAACTGCAGCAGTTAAAGAAGAGGAGGTAGCGGGGTAAGTTAGAAGTTCAATCTCTCCTGCCTGTCTTCACAGGAGCTAATAGATGGATGTTATAGTATACAGGGCGGTGCACAGATGTTTAGCTACACCTGTGTGTCTTGTTGTAACCCCCCTCCCCCATTTTGAATTTTGTACCCCTTTTGTGCTGTAGTGTATTTAATTCCCCTTTAGTGTGTCTTACTTCCCCCCCAGTCCCTTTGTGTGTCCCTTCCCTCCAGCCCCTGTAGTGTCTCTTTCTTACACCAGCCCCTTTCTGTGTCTCTGTCTTACCCGGGTCAGTTTATTTATCTCCTTCTCCACCACAGTCCCTCTGTGTGGCTCTTTTTCCCCTTAGTCCGTTTTGTGTGTCCCTCCCCTCCAGATCCTTTTGTGTGTCTTTCCTCCCAAGCCACAGGCACACAGGCATTGTTTTCAGTCACACAGTAATAAAAGGCACACAATTAAAGTCATACAGGTACACTGTCATTCAAGCACAGACATAATCATACATAAACATAGAGACACCAAGACATACAGTCAGAGACATACCGACACACTGGCAGAGACATACAGACACAGTCACACAGAGACATACAGGCAGAGACATACACACATACAGAGACATACATGCATACAGAGACATACATGCATACAGAGGCATACCATCATACATAGACATACATACAGGCATGCAGAGACATACAGGCATACAGAGACATACATACAGAGACATAAAGACATACAGAGACATTCAGGCATATAGAGACATACAGGCATACAGATACATGCATTCAGAGGCATACCGTCATACAGACACATACATAAATACATACAGAGACATACATACATACAGGAATACAGACACATGCATACAAAGACATAGAGGCATACAGAAACATACAGACATATACATATATACATACATACAGAGGCAGAAAGGCATACAGTTACATACATGCATACCGAGACATCCATATATTCAATTACATACATGCATACAGAGACATACATACATACATATATAACATATATGCATACAGAGACATACATTCATACATACATACATGCATACAGAGACATACATACATGCATGCATACAGAGACATACATACATACATACATACACACATGCATACAGAGACATACATTCATACATACATGCATACAGATATTTACATGCATGCATACAGAGCATACATACATAAATGCATGCATACAGAGACATACATACATACATACATGCATACAGAGACATTCACAATTACATATTCACATCTGTTCAATCTGGTCCCTGGGGTACATGCTATCCGGCTCTGTGGAGTCCTGTAAATTAAACTTGTTTTATATAATCAATAATGAATGACTATAGGATAGAATAGGAGTCCCAGGCTTGAAAGACAATATAGTATTGGACCTAATTCCCTCGCAAATGCTATGTGAGGATTAATACAATTATGAATAGGTGCAAATTTTATTTTAATATTTAAAAGCATCAGCTCAGGAGTAGCTGTACTGCAGGAAGCTGTTCCTGCTAACAGCCGTGGAAACAGCCCCTCTAGTACGGGTGGGGTTGAGAGGGTAAGGAAGGCTAGACAGGTTGTGGTGGTAGGGGACTCTATTATTAAGAGAGTAGATAGGGTAATCTGCCACTCTGATCGACTCAACCGGACAGTTTGCTGTCTCCCGGGTGCTCGGGTCCGGCATGTTGCCGACAGAGTGGAGGGATTATTGGGAGGGGCTGGAGATGACCCAGCTGTCATGGTCCATATTGGTACCAATGACAAAGTCAGAGGAAAATGGAAGGTCCTAAAGAATGAGTTCAGGGAACTAGGAAGTAAGCTTAAGAAAAGGACCTCCAAGGTAATTTTTTCAGAAATATTACCTGTGCCGCGCGCTACAGCAGAAAGGCAGCGGGAGATTAGAGAGGTCAATGCATGGCTAAAGTCTTGGTGCAGGAAAGAGGGTTTTGGGTTTTTAGAGCACTGGGCCGATTTTGCGATTGGGTACAACCTGTATAGTCATGATGGATTGCACCTAAACGGAAGAGGGTCTGCTGTGCTGGGGGATAGGATGGCTAGAAGGTTGGAGGAGATTTTAAACTAGTGGTAGGGGGGGAGGGTCAAAGCAATCTAGAAAATGGAGATATGATGGAAAAGAGATGGGCTTTAGCTCAGAACAAAGGGGGTGGAGATGGGGGGAGGGGAAAACTCAGAACAGAGGAGGTATGTAATATTGATAATTCACAAAAAGTACAAAAGACTCATGATAATATTAAATGTATGCTTACTAATGCAAGGAGCCTATATAACAAAATGGGGGAACTAGAGGCAATAGCATACACTAAACAATATGATATAATAGGCATAACAGAAACATGGTGGGATGAGACACATGACTGGGCAGTTAATTTAAATGGGTATACGTTATTTAGGAAGGATAGGAAAAACAAGAAGGGTGGTGGGGTATGTTTATATGTCAACCGTGAGTTAAAGTCAAATCTTAGGCATGTGGAGTGTGACGAGGAAAAGGTGGAGGCTTTATGGGTAGATATCTGCTTGGGGAAAACAAAGGGAAATCAATTATTGGTTGGGATATGTTATAAACCACCTAATGTAAATATTAATGAGGAAGAACAGCTGTTAGAGCAAATTGAGAAAGCTGCAAATCGAGGTAACACGTTAATTATTGGAGATTTTAATTATCCAGACATAAATTGGGAAAGAGGGACTAGTACTTCAGCAAGGGGAATCAGGTTTTTGAATGTGTTAAATGACACCTTTATGTCACAACTGGTACAAGCACCAACTAGACAGGATGCTTGTCTGGATCTTGTCATAACAAACAATGTTGATCTTTTAACCAACATTCAAGTAGGGGAGCATTTGGGAAATAGTGATCACAATATGGTAAATTTTGAAATAAACTCAAAAAAGCAAAAGCAGGTGGGGTATACTAAAACATATAATTTAAAAAAAGCCAATTTCAATAAGATTAGGGCAGCTCTACAACATATCGACTGGCATAAACTCCTTAGTGATAAAAACACTGAGGATAAATGGAAACTATTCAAACATATATTAGAAAGGTACATTTCTCAGTATGTACCATTGGGTAATAAATATAAAAGAAACAAATTAAAACCAATGTGGCTTAGTAGAGAAGTAAAACAAGAGATTAAAAATAAGAAAAGGGCATTTAAAGCATTTAAATCAGACAAATCAAAGGCATCCTATTTAAGATATAAGGAAGCCAATAACACTTGCAAAAAGGCAATTAAAGTGGCTAAACTAGAAAATGAGAAATTGATAGCTAAAGAATGCAAAACCAACCCCAAAATTTTTTCAAGTACATCAATTCTAAAAAAACAAAAAATGAAAGTGTAGGTACACTTGAAACAGAGTTGGGTTTATTAGCTAATGAAGACCAGGAAAAAGCAGAAATTTTAAATAACTATTTTTCTTCAGTATATATTAATGAGGATCCTATGGCAAGAGATATGCAAATGTTTGCTGCAAAAAACTTGCAAATAACTTGTGACTGGATAACTCGAGACAAGGTGCTACAGCTATTAAAGAAAATTAATGTAAATAAAGCTCCGGGGCCTGACTGTATTCACCCACGAGTACTTAAGGAGCTAAGTGGGGAAATAAGTGAACCTCTGTATTTAATTTTTCAAGATTCTTTTGTTTCAGGTGTTGTACCGGAGGATTGGAGGAAGGCAGATGTTGTTCCTATATTTAAAAAGGGTTCAAAATCCTTGCCTGGAAATTATAGACCTGTGAGCTTAACTTCAGTAACTGGGAAAATATTTGAAGGGCTATTAAGGGATAATATTCAGGAATTCATTGGGAAGAACTTTGTTATTAGCAATAATCAGCATGGTTTTATGAAACATAGGTCATGTCAAACTAACCTAATTGCATTCTACGAAGAAGTAAGTAGAAGTATAGATCAGGGTGTTGCAGTGGATGTGATCTACTTGGACTTTGCCAAGGCATTTGATACGGTTCCTCACAATAGGTTAGTCTTCAAACTAAAAGAAATTGGTCTAGATGAATATTCCTGTTCTTGGGTAGAACATTGGCTTAAGGACAGAGTACAACGAGTTGTCATTAATGGTAAATTTTCAGGCTGGACAAAAGTGGTAAGTGGTGTCCCTCAGGGTTCTGTTTTGGGACCACTTCTATTTAACATATTTATAAATGATCTTGAAATAGGCATTGAAAGCCATGTATCAGTGTTTGCAGATGACACAAAACTTTGTAAAGTAATAAAATGTGAGCAGGATATTGCTTTGTTGCAGAGAGATTTGGATAGATTGGGGGACTGGGCACTAAAATGGCAGATGAAATTTAACATAGAGAAATGCAAAGTTATGCACTTCGGGGTTAAGAATGCACAAGCAACTTACACACTAAATGGTAGTGAATTAGGGATAACCACACACGAGAAGGATTTGGGCATTGTTATAGACAACAAATTAGGCAGCAATATGCAATGTCAATCTGCAGTTGCTAAGGCCAGTAAGATTTTGTCATGTATAAATAGGGGCATAAATTCTCGGGATGAAAATATAATTTTGCCTCTTTATAAATCGCTGGTAAGACCACACCTTGAATATGCTGTGCAATTTTGGGCGCCTGTTCTAAAGAAGGATATCATGGCACTGGAGAGGGTCCAGAGACGAGCTACAAAATTGATAAAAGGAATGGAGCATTTTAGTTATGAAGAAAGGTTACAAAAATTAAATCTGTTTCGTTTGGAAAAACGGCGCCTGAGAGGGGATATGATAACTTTATACAAATATATTCGGGGCCAGTACAAACCTTTATCTGGAAATCTATTCATAAACAGGGTTATACATAGGACACGAGGTCACATTCTCTGCCTGAAGAGGTGGTTTTGTCAGAGTCCATACAGATGTTTAAACTGAAATTGGATAAATACTTACAAAAACATAACATACAGGGATATAATTTCTAATTAGTGGGGTAATAGCTGATTGATCCAAGGAGACATCTGACTGCTATTTTGGGGTCAAGAAGGAATTTTTTCCTAGTTTGTGGCAAAATTGGAAGTGCTTCAGACCAGGTTTTTTGCCTTCTTTTGGATCAACAGCAACAACATTTCTGAGGAAGGCTGAACTTGATGGACGCAAGTCTCTTTTCAGCTATGTAACTATGTAACTATGTAACTATGTAAAACAATGAGCAATATCAGTCAACAGTTGCAAAGGCCTTTTAGGTGTTGTTATACTTAAAACTAGGTATTAATTAATTGGTGTGATGATACTATTATTTTTCTTCTTTATTTTGCATCTGCAATGTAATTTCTGGTGCTTGTTAAGAAATTAATGAACTGGAGAAAATGCATTGCAGATTCAAGGTGGGTTATTCTCATTTTAAAATAAAGATGAAACATATTTTTATGAAGAATGACAGAATACATGAAAAATAAAAATGGTGTAAATTTATATAATTTAAATGTTTACATTATTCTGCAAAGCAATCTATACACAAAATGGCTTTGTTATGTTTATATGTCCGCTATGCAGCCCTTGACTCAAATGCACGTAATGCTTTTTGTCAGACATCTGTTCCAGTTGGGCTTCTGGCTTTTCTTTGGATTGTCAGCAGAAACATATATAACTATGCGGACTGGAAACATAGCCTCCCAAGATACACAACATATTAGTCTCTATTACGTAACCCCCTGCATGTAGAGTATGGGGATCTGGGAAATGACGCAAGCTCCGTTATTAAGGAAATCTAGAGGGTGCCTTTCAAAGAGAATTGTTAATTAAGTGGATCTTCCATCAGATTGCTACACATTAATCCAGTTTGATTTATCATCTTGCTTAAAATAAATAGAGATTAGTAAATGACCACACATTAATGTTGCTTACATGGATTTAAATATAAAATTATATTCTAGATTGATGTGCTCTGTTAGGAATGTATTTGCAATGTCTATGTTAAGATTTATGAAATTTGCATGTGATAGGGGACCTGAGAGACTCCTATGTAATTTCTTGCAAGTGTGGTGTATTTCTTTTTTAAATATTATTTTTATATATTACTAATAAAATAATCCTACCAGCATTTCTTTTAATGACTGCTATTTCATTCCAGGTCTATTGGATTGGTCCATTAGTTGGTGCAGTCATTGCAGGAACCCTCTATGAATATGTTTATTGTCCTGATCCAGAGCTGAAGAATCATTTTAAGAATGTTTTAACGAAGGCCACCAAACAGTCACCAGGGGATTATTCAGAGGTAGAAGAAAGCAAAAGCCAAGTAGAATCAGATGATCTTTTGATGAAACCAACAACTGTTCACACCTTTTTTGATAAAAAGGAGAAGGATCCATCGGGTGATGTCCTTTCTTCGGTATGACTAGAACCAAGCACTGAAAACAGAGAACCTCCTGGAACATCAGCCACTTTTTGTTCAATTAAAGAGACTGATATATTATAACAGAAGCATTTTGGATATCATAGATCAATTCTTCATCTAAAACAACATTCAATGAATAATATTGTCAGACTAAGCAGAGAAAATATAAGTATTGTTTAGACTATCATTCTCTGATGTAATCATACTTTGTTTCTTTGGACACCGTCCTTGTGGCGAATTCAAGGAGAGCAAAAGTGATCCATAATTTAAGAAGTCAATATTGAGCCTAAAATCTGCCAGTTTAACATTGAGATTGACAGTATGCATTAGTTTAAAATACCCATTGGCGCATTCAAACTAATGACTCTACATCTGGCACATAATTGGCTGTTGTCAGCACTGATTAAGACATGTTCCCTGTAATCACTTTTTCAACACTTAGTAAAAACAAAGAAAGATTGGGAAACTGAAAAATAAAGATTTACAAATAATTAAAAACTAACTAAGAAATGCACATACAGTAGGAAATTCTGTAACAAAAAAGACACTAGTTCTCAATTTCTAAAAGTAGAGTTTGAAAGATAAAATTTTCAAAAGAAGTTAAATGTTTACAAACAGTAATATCTTCAGGACGTACAGAAAACAAAATCTTTAATTTTTGGTGTTTTGGCTGTTCACTCACCTCTCTCTTTCTCTGTTAGAACTGCTTCTATTCATCAAGAACATATAACATTGTACATATCACATTCTAAAAAAAGAAAAATGTTTTTTAAAAAAAGCTCTTATTCTGTAAATATACAAAAACAAATGGTGATCTGTTTCCAGTGCACGTACTAAGCATTTTTTTTTTATTAACTGTGTGGTGTGATAACATTAATTCACATTAGACATTTAAATATTAGCTCACGTATTAGTAGTGATAATTGTTGTTAAGTAACAATATATGATTATAAAAGTCCATTACCTATAAGCATATAAATATCTTTATCATCGACATAATCAATACATGATTTCAGATTTAAAACATATGTTAATGTTTATTTACAATTATGGGATCCAGTTGAGATTTTATTTTTTTATTTTATTATTTTACAGTTTTGCAAGACTACTGCGCGTATGTATACATACATACCATCTAATAAATACGTAATTGTTGCAATATGCATAATATGTACACAGATGACTGGTTACTGTGTGATTGTATTGTTTTATTTCTATAATAGAATTGTCTAAAATATATTTATTACATAAGATTATTCTGCTATATTTCAAGAATTCAACTCGTATCATGCCTTTTTTTATATTCAATAATTGGTATTTCTTGTTCATGTTAAATATTTCATCATCCAATAATTCAAGTTTCTTTTACAGAATTTGATCTCATAATGGTTCAATGACACCAGTGGGTTTTTTTTTAACAGTTTTCATTAAGGTTTTTTCTAAGGTCGTTATAGAACCTAAGCTTCAGTTGGTTAAATGTGGCTTCTGATGATTTATTGTTTTTATTTATTTGATCATTAACTTGAGCTGCGTATTTACTTTAGCTGTGGGAACCACTCTGCTTCCAACATATAAAAGTTTTACTTGCTGGGGAGAGCCCACTGGCACTCAATATAAAACTCCATCAAATAATCATTTTGTGGATTCCTATTCGGTGATGCCTCAGGGCCCTATTGGATTTTTAATACTTGAAATGCAACTCTTAATATCTCCTGAAAGTGGGAATCCCATTGAATGAAAGTAAAATGACAAATTCTTTATGTTTTGAAAAGCTTCCTGAGTAGGTTGTTTTATTTCTGCAAAGCCTTGCGGTCTTTGATAGTATATACATTGTATTATTTATTTTACATTCCTTTATATAGTGTCCTTATTTACAGCGATTATAAAGATTGACTTTACTTGGTCAGCAATGGAAAAAAATAATAAAAGTAACAGAAGTGAGGCTAAATGATAACAAGTGACCTAATGCTGTCAACACAAAAGATGCACCCTCTGCAAGGGACCTACCATAGAGAGTGTCTGCAAGGGACCTACCGTAGAGAGTTTCTGCAAGGGACCTACCGTAGAGAGTGTCTGCAAGGGACCTACCATAGAGAGTTTCTGCAAGGGACCTAACATAGAGAGTTTCTGCAAGGGACCTACCATAGAGAGTGTCTGCAAGGGACCTACCATAGAGAGTTTCTGCAAGAAACCTACCATAGAGAGTGTCTGCAAGGGACCTACCATAGAGAGTGTCTGCAAGGGACCTACCGTAGAGAGTTTCTGCAAGGGACCTACCATAGAGAGTGTCTGCAAGGGACCTACCATAGAGAGTTTCTGCAAGGGACCTACCATAGAGAGTGTCTGCAAGGGACCTACCATAGAGAGTATCTGCAAGGGACCTACCATAGAGAGTTTCTGCAAGGGACCTACCATACAGAGTTTCTAAAGGAGACCTACCAAAGAGAGTGACTGCAAGAAACCTACCATAGAGAGTGTCTGCAAGGCACCTACCGTAGAGAATGTCTGCAAGGCACCTACCGTATAGAGTGTGTGCAAGGGACCTACAATAGAAAGTAGCAGATGACAAAAAACATGGTGGTGAGTGAAACATTATTGCAAATGTGCCAAAGGGAACACAAATTCCCATAATGCTTTCATATTTCCAATCTTCCACAAAGTGTGAATATTTACAGGAAAAGATCCACTAAAATATGGACAATGGGATGAATTCTTCCAAAATCTGCTGAGCAAGCTCCATGCATATTATGATGAGACCCACTTCCATGTACATATTGTCGACACTGAATCTGCAGTGATTTAATGATAATGGAGCCTTCATTTCTGTTTGGTTTGCTTGCACTCTTGATGCCCTATTGCGTTAGCAGAGAGTGTTAAGATATAATGTAAACATGGCACGTTGTGACATACCCATTCCACACACAGTGCTGGAATACTAGAGAATAGTAAAGTAGCGCAGATCGCTGCTCATTCAGAGATGTTGGAAATATTGGAACAGAGAGGAAAGAAGGACAGAGGCAGATAAATGTTAATACCTCCCAATCCTGACCTTCTCAAGACTAGAAAGCAACCCAAAGATAAGTAATTAGTAAAACATAATCTTTAATAAATATAATGTAATATTAATTATAGAGAATACATCTTGTAATTAATCATAGAATGCTAGCCTAGCAAGGCATGTTAGGGAACTACTTGGAGCTATAGGTTATCCCTTCCCTTCATTACGGTTTACATTTCTCCCCTCGATGTGCTTTATTTCTTAGTCCCATCCTGATAGATACTTATTTATTTGTTACTACATCTGTTACATTTGTTTCCACTAGTTGTTAGTGTTTCTTCTCCTTTTACTTCAATTTGCCTACCGAAGCAGTACACTCTCAATTTCTGCTTTGACTTGCTTGGTTGTTTTTTTTTATTTTATTTTGATTTATTATTTGGTTCCTATTTTCCTTTTTTCTCACATTATTTGATGGTTTTATTAGCCTCGTGTAGGCTAGCATTTTATGATTAATTACTAGATGTATGCTCTATAATTAATTTTACAATTAGCAAGGACTAGCAAGGACTACTGCAATACTCTTCTCAGTGGTCTTATGTGTTCCCAGATTGCACCGCTGCAATCTATAATGAAGGCGACTGCGAGGCTCATTTTCCTGTCCGCCCGCACCTGTCACGCCTCCCCGCTCTGTCAGTCCCTGCATTGGCTTCCAGTTAGATATAGGGCTCAATTTAAAATTCTGGTGCTTGCTTACAAGTCCCTACATAATGCTGCTCCAACCTACCTATCCTCCCTAATACACAAGTATGTCCCGTCGAGGCCCCTACGCTCTGCCAAAGACCTACATATATCCTCTGTCCGTACTCCCACCTCTAACGCTCGCCTCCAAGACCTTTCCAGGGCTGCACCTCTGCTGTGGAACTCCCTTCCCTTCTCCCTAAGAATTTCATCCAGTCTCCACTCATTCAAAAAATCATTGAAAACTCACTTCTTCAAGAAAGCATATCAATTAAACTGTTAGCAGGTTTTAATCCCCCACCCTCCATGACTCCTCTCCTGCAACTGTTAAAAATTACCTACTAAGCCCTCAATTAATACTTTTCTAACAACCTACTTCATACCCCTACTTTTACCCTTTGTGTCACTATACCCCCGCTACCTCTAGAATGTAAGCTCAGGAAGCAGGGCCATCCACCCCTCTGTTCCCGTACGTCCAGTTGTCTGGTTACAATTACATGTCTGTTAGTCCACCCATTGTACAGCGCTACGGAGTCTGATGGCGCTATATAAATAATAATAATAATAATAATGATGATGAAATGGTGACGATGTTGCAGGCTTACCTGGAGTCCCATGAGTGAGTATGTGGACTTCTTAGCCTTAGTTTCCCCAGACAGGGAATCAGTGGATAGGCCATGCAAAGGGGATGCTCAGGATGGGGACAAGGTGAAACAGCTCCCCCGCACATTTGGGAACTGGCTGCAGGGATTCAACATTTTATCCTCAAATCCCCATTGTATCCTTTAGATTGTAAGCTCACAGGCTATCTAGCTAAGCACTTTATATAAAAGAGCTCCAACTGCTAGTTTTCAGCTTACGGGCAGGGCTCTTTTGCCCGCTTGTATTTGTCTATGTATATTGTACATTCTCCACTAATTGTACAGTGCTGCGGAATCTGTTTGCGCTTTATAAATACCAGTAGAAAATAAATAAAAAAAATAGGTGTAAACATATGTCAAAAATCCTTTAAGAGACACCAACTGTTTGGCTTGCTTTGCAGTTTCTTGCATGTTAAACATATTAATAAAAACACATTAAGATCATTTCCAAGTCTTTGAATGTTGCCAGAAGCAGATATAAATGTTTACACACATTTGTAGGTGCCAAAATTAGTGATAAACTAAAAAGTAAATGTAGATATATATTGCAGTTTTTCAAGTTTATGCTACATGGTGTCAAAAGATGAAAAACGTGGGAGTGTTATGAATCTCATTTTATACAACACGTGTTGATACACTGGTGTTCTAACTGAAGATAAACTGCTTGTGCCTATTTAATAGTTTAGTTAATATCAGAAACGATAAGTAAGGCATGTTTACATTTCGTTGATGGATATTCTTTTTATCTTCAATAGGCGTCTGTTCTTAACCCCTAGCTGAATATTCACAAATAAGAATAACAAAGTACACTAAGCACACAAAACGTCAAAAAGTAAATCTTAATGAGTCAACACTGCATTGTAATTATTATTATTATTACTAGTATTTATAAAGTGCCATCATATTCCACAGCACTGCACAGTTGGGTAAAAAGAAAGTGCAATATACACAGACCAAGAGGTAAAGAGCGTGTTTATACTAAGTACAAAGATAGAAAGCCTGTGAGCTTGCAATCTAAAGACCTTGATTCAACTACAGCAGGGGTTCCCAGCCCAGTCCTCCAGTACCCCTACCAGTCCAAGATTTAGAGATTACCCTGTTTTGTCAAAAGTATTTTTTTTCCTTTTTTTTCTAAATCCCTAAATTGTAGACTGGTAGGGGTTACTTGAGGACTGGGTTGGGAACCCCTAAACTAGAGCCATTAAGTTTGACTATGTATGGAAGATGACCTCTTTTAAATTAGCTCCATTTGCTGTCTCACATTGTTCATAACATTAGTTAATGTTTGAGGCTCTAACACTGAAATTTCTGCTCGGATTTTCTCCTTGAGCTGCTCAAGTGTACACGATTTCTTCACGTACACCCACTCCTTCAGATATCCCCGTAGGAAGTAGTTGGGAGCTGAAAGGCGGGGCGGATGTGGAGGCCAATAAATCAGGGAATGTGCATCAAAATAATAGACCATTTTGAAAATAAAATTCTACTATTGTTACTCATTGTTCCTTTGTGAAATTATCCACGATGAATTTCCCTGGCCCTGTCCGCTTCCCCTATCATGGTTTCTGTTTCAGTGCGCTTTAGTGCGTTCCTTGAGCTATTGTGTTTATTCTGGCAAAGTGTCTGACCACACTTTATCTCTGTCTGATGTTTAGTCTGGGCATTCTAAGGCCCGGTAATACGCTATATGTATCTTGTCCCTTGCTATCCTAGACTCTGCGTGTTGGGGTATTACACCGTGACATGTACTTAGTGTACGATAACACAGAAGCACATACAATATACATGCACAATTTCTGATAATGGTCCAGTAGATCTAAAAAT